CAAGCAGCTCTTAAGAGTCTAGTCTTGCCTTGAGGATGATCAATCACTCTAACATGTGGTGATATTTGATCTATCCTCTCCTGCCTAGTTTGTTCAGGTGGAGAAAAAGTACTACCAATTGGGAATTGCGTAGGCTGTGGTACAACATTGTTATGATAAACTAGAAAATCACACAAAAAACATCCCTCTTTCAATATTCTAAGAGCGCCTGTTCTGTTAAGAACTAGAACATCTGTTAAGCCACCAGGTCTAATCGTGCTCAGTGTCGATTCACACGATAAACCTTTAACCTCGCACGTTTCCGGTAAACATGCTACATCAGTTCCCGTGTACAGGTCAGGTAAAACAACAGTGGCTATGGTGATTTCCTCATTCTGATAGTGGAGAGTACCCGTTAACACTGCAGGTACAATCTTCCAACTTTTGCTGCTATAATCACGCTGGGAAAGTGAGTCTGTGAGGTCTTGATCTCGCTTTGACTCGTTATCCACCTTCCTCCTAATGGACATGATTGATAACACTTTCAACCTTACGGATGGCAACGGTGAAGAATTACGCATAGCATTGTAGGAAACACCATTAAATATAATAGAACTATTACGTGGACGAACATCTATAAAAAAATTCTAAGTGTCAGTAGACCTATCAACCCTTCAGCTGGACTACATAAAAATCTGTACACAGGGAAATACCACATCTAGAAAAGCGTAGCAGTAAAGTTACCATCCCTGCAATGTTCAGCTGCGTCCCGGAAACTCCTTCAAGATCGGTGTCAGTAGGTCGAAATGAAAAATCTCCGTGAGGGAATCTACGTTATAATTCTTGATATGAGGCCAAACCTAATACATTTGCGCACGCACCCGTATCAATATCCAGAGCCAACATGATAAACCCAACTCTCGCCGGAATCGACAACACTTCCGCTTTGTTGAGCGCCGCTATTAAAGAGGCTGCCACAGAAGTGCGGTCGGGCTTTGGTACTGATGTACCTATTCTTCTTCGTTCTGGCACCGGCGCTGGTCTTCCCCCGACTACTTGTAATGATAACGACGCGCTATATGCTGCTGTGTTACCTGGGGTCACCCTACGTCTACGCTCCTAGCTCTTTGCATCACGGCACAGTCATCTGTGTTGTGAGAGTCAAACTGATGGTACACACACCACATATCAGCTTTGTGGCCTGTCACAGACGTAGTCTTTGTAGACGCTGCATCTGTTTTGGGTGGTCCATGTCTTTGCCGTTGGGCCGGTGGTTGGATGTCTCTTTTCTTTCTTCTTGACACCACCACTCTGGAGTTGGTAATAAAAGTCCACTTTATGACCTTTCTTCTTACAATGGGTACATACTAAAGTTTGTCTAGGTTTGTTACCTGGATTGTTAGGAACTCGTTATTGCATTGGTGCTACAGGTGTAGTTGTCCTAGATGGTGTGAGTACGAGCTGACTTAGAAGCAAGTTTATTTGCGTAGTCTATGATCAAATCAGTTTGTACATACTCATTATCCTGTGCACGACAATATATAGGGTCGCGAACTGCCACAAGAAAACTAATATGTTCAATCAATTTTTCAACATTTTCTTTAGACATTTTGCCATCATCATCAAACCAGGGCGATCCACCAAAATTAGCACGAATGTCCTGACAGACATCACCAGCAATGGCGACACTCTTCATCGGAGTTTCTGCCCGAACCACACCTGTCAAACGGTCAAGCCACCTTAACAACCAATGTAAATGTCCTTGCTGTGTACCTGATTCAAAAATACCAATTAGAGCCTTTTTAAAATATTCATACCTCGGGTCAGCAAGAACACTGGCGTCTAAATGTTCACTTGCAAAACTACCTTGCGGGATATGAGAGCGAACAAATGACTTCTTCGCATCATCTCCTGTAATCTGAACATTTGTCATGGTATCCTCACATGCTCTTAGAAATGTAGTTACCCAGTATCCATCTTCCCCTATGAAATCGCAGACCAGATCGCCAAGCGGTAACACTTGAATAACGTTAGAGGAGTTAGTAGACATGCCGGCGTAGGAGTTAGTAGACATGCTATTTAACTTACTCCTAACTGAGGGATCTTTTGATGGAGGAGGTAATAAAAGGTTTTCTGACACACTATCTTTCTGTGGAGGAGAAAGGAGAACCTGCCCGGAATCAGGCAATGTATTATACTTATTACCTGACCTAAGGGTTCGACGGTTTATATCGTCAATGATTGGTCTATAAAATCTTCACTACTCCTGACAGAAGGGTCTAGCTTTGATTGCGCCTGTGTTTCGTGCGCATATACTGAATCAATTTTTTCAGTGGTAACCTTAACCTTATGAGCAATATCTGAATCGCTAGTATAATGCTCCGCCAATTTAGTAATGTCCCAAGACGATGACTTAGAAAGACGGTCCATTAATATGCAAATGAATCACATCAAAATTTATAAAAAAAAAATACTCTTGCCTTTCATTTACAGTAAAGAACTTTACTAGTAAAAATGAAGAAATTATCAATAAGTGAATAAGAGATAATTAATACTGGACTATACGTTCTTCTGTATCTATATATATTCATATAAAAAGTAAGCAAGACACTTATTAAATTAACATACCCTACACGATGTCTATTTATGTAGAGATATGCCGTCGAATATATTACTGTAGGTATATATATAATGTTCCTAAAAATACCTATGAATGTAGTCTTGAGTCGACGTACAAAACGGGAGCCGTAAGACGCAGTCCACTGTCACAGCTGACTCAAGGTCACGGTGAGTGGGTCGGTGAGTAGGTCAATGTCCTCCATGTTGATAGTAGAACAAGTGATGTCTCCGTTGCGTAGCAACTGATTGATGCTTCAAGATGGCGACGGTTGAGTCCACTTCAACGACAGGGAGTCCACTATCCACCAAAATGCTGACCAAGGGTTGTGGGTTCGCTGGGTTCGCTGGGCAGGTCCACCACGAATGAGAGTCAGGGGTTCTTCTGTGTGACAAACCTCTTGTAGCCCTGTATGTATCGGACTCGCTGGGGACACACACCTGCAGTCACGAACAGCCAAAACACTCTGTTTAAACAACTTGTGACGTCTAAATGATGTAAGGTCCACGTGTTGCCACGTAGGTATGTGGCATCACTGCAAGATCCAATGGTCTGTCACTGGGGGGTATCCGTGCACAGGATGTTGAAAGTTGACGCCACAAATTCTTCTCCACCATACCTTGTTGCCAGAAAGGGGTGTTCCCAACCTTCCACATTAGGTAAAAGTTATCAATAACTCATAAATAGTTATTGAGAAAAAGAAATTTGTACATCACTTTGGATGACAAAATAAAAATCACTCAACGTATAACGTCTCGCTACGGGATATTATAATACACTTTGAAAAAATATAACACGTCACTGCTTTATGTTTTTCCGGTTGTCGTAAAACACTTATGACTTGTTATGTAGAATGTATATATATAAACTGGAATGTTGTTATGCATTACCACTTTCGTGCCACCTATGAACTGGCCCTTTAACCGTTGATTCTTGCTGGGTTAATGGGGCTGGAACATGTCAAACTATATAGGGTTTTAGTAGCGAAGCCCAACTGTCCATTCTGTATTTATTAAGAAAATATATTATATACTATTGCAAGTGTATATCACCGTAAGTTAATCACTGTAGCTATGAGTGTTAAAATGAGGACGGAGGCTATATTAAATAGGTCTTCTAAATACGTTCTCCTTGTGTGAGAGAGTGAGTAAGAATGCTCAAGCAGCTGGCTTCTATATGCTGACCTAACACTGTTAGGGCCGTGCCTCAAGGAACTTACCCATCACGTGATGTGACCATGTCACCTCATAGCCAGTGGAAAGTTACAGGGGGTGATATGATTATATAAACCCAATGTACTGCCCTGACATTTATATAAGAATTAAGGGGCTAATACATGTTTTCATGCGCGTGTTGTCCCGTGATAGTTAGTGTGGCCAGCCGTTCAGAAAGGACTCGGTCCTCAACTTCGGCCCGACCTAGGTGGGCTAGAAATTGTGGTGCGTGTACATACTACGTACGTACAGGCAGTACATTTCAAGACAGATTGCATGTACTCATAGTTCCGTGTGGTGTCTTTTTTAAGTCGCTGTTTACCGAAAAAAAAAAATAATCAAGCGGATACATTTATCTCCTGAAATATTAAGCTATATCCTTTATATTTAATAATTTTATAAATCTACTATTAGGTAGTTGTTGATAACTTTTGGTAAATAAACAAATTATACTTTGAGAGACAGATTTTCTCACAAGGCGCCCAAATCAGGTTCTAAATAGACTAGTAACTCGAGTGCCTTGTTCAAATACATTTCTTTTGTCAACTCCTCGGACCTATTATGTACACATACACATTTAAGCTACTTAACAATCTAATACTTTGTAGAGTGTCTGTGTTTGTGAGTGTAGTGTATCCTCGGGCAGTGTGAAACAACGGGCAAGTTTCTTTACTCCATTTGCCCCTGTCTACCCAGCAGTAATTGGGAACCTGGATGTTAATCGATTTGCGGATCGTATTCCAGGGTAATGGTTAACCACTGCAGTTGGCGAATTGCCCGGTCTTCTCGGACTATTCCTTGACATGGGTTATGCAACTCGTTAACTTAGGGTGTGGTTGTAATGTTGCCGACAGCTTCTACACCTTCAACAAATTTACGCCTAGGTGGCCATAGGGCCGGCCATCCTTGTTACACGAGGGGCAACCATTATCCGTGTTTGAGTGAAGGGTTTGTGAGTGTAGTGTACTGTATCCGTGGATGTGAGTCTAGTTTATCTTTGCTTGTGAATGTAGTGTAACCGTGTTTATGAGTGTATTGAATCCATGTTTGTGAGTGTAGTGTAACCGTGTATATGGGTGTAGTGTATCCGTGTTTGTCTAGTGTATCCGTGTTTGTGTAGTGTAGTGAATCCGTGTTTGTGAGTATAGTGTAGTGTATATGTGTTTGTGAGTGTAATCTATCTTTCTCAGGCAACTTGGATCACTACAGTCATGCTGACAACACGCGCGGAATATCAGAACGAGTCAGAGATGATGCCGTCCGACTTGTAGGGTAAGTTTACTTATGACTGAGTGTTAACGTATGCCAAGTAATTTGTCTCTCTTTTAGTTCACGGTCTGCTAGTTCATATCTTAGTTATTTATGTATGATGTCTTAAATGATGTAATGTATGATGCTCCTCGCAGTTACACGTATGATAGGACGAACATCGCCCAGAGGGAAAGTTCTCAGCGTCTGGGGGAACGAGTAAGCGACATAACCTTCTGGAGGAGCGAATTGATGCAGGAACTTGACCGAATGTTGGCCGAGACGAACCGACTCAATGATTCCCGTCGCGCTCTAGAACACGCTTACAGGGACACGGAAAACCCCTTGCATGTCACCAAGGAATGTCTCTACTTTAGGGAGAATCGACAAGGTAGGAAGTCGTGTCCTATCTCACTTTAACATGCTCTCAGAGACACTTAACCACTCCCATGTCACCAAAGAGTGTCTCGCTTATCGTTTCCTATGTTACTTTAACACGCTCTCAGGGACACAAAACCATTCGCATGTCATTCAAAGAGTGTCTCTTTGTGTCATGGGTTGTCTTGTGAGTTTTACATTTCCATATTTGGGTCAGTTACATCGATATTACAAGAGTTTTGTCATTAAATACACGACCACTCAGTGTATGACGCAATAGTAACTTAGGGTTAAAATTACCACAATAGCTTTAGTGATCGTTATTAATTGTTCAGTAATTGTAGTGAAGGTAAGAGAAGCCTTATTTTATAATAAAAAAATAATAATTAACCCCTATTTCTTATATAAATTACCATTTAATAAGAAAAGGAATTTGTCACCAGTTAAAATTTCCTGTTTTTCATTTAATGCGAACGAAAGAACAAACCGTATAATTTCTTTGCTTTTGCTATTAAAAAGTACCGGAAGTTGAAAAAATTACCTACTTCTCGCCTGTGAGGAACACTGCACTTCTCCCATTCTTTAATAAAACGAGAAAACATTTTAAAACTCTGTAAATTGTTCCTTATTTACATACTTCAACAAAATTAAAGAAAGGGAAATAAAATAAAAACATAAGAGAAATAAAATGATGAATAAAACATTATCTTACTTGTTGAGGGATCGACTTGGTGAGGGATCATCCAGAAGAGAGTATGCTGAGGGAAGTGGATACCATCAAGGACTGCCAAGCGCGTATGAAGAACCTCCTCGATCGTGTCAACCTTCAGGTAAGTAAAGTTCTAATCTAACCTAGCCTAAACTACATTATTATGCTGTCATTCGAAATGGAGTATGACGATCATCCAGCTATGATACAATGACATGAGTTATTAAGGATGTCACCGAAGTTGGTAAGTTATGAGGAGACTAAAGAGGCCGATACAGGACCGGCAGGGTCATTCACAAATGTTGCACATGTGCGTTGCTACATCTAGTGCGGCAGGGGTGGCGGTAGCGTCTTTCCGGCGTTTGCGCTTATCTGCCTCGGTATGCAGTCAGGCTAACTCGAAAGTATTTACACCTTCTCGTGTGGTGCTCCTCCAAGCGTTACGGTGTGGAGTAATCGTCTCCCAGGTGACGGGGTCGATTTGGCACTTTTTCATGTTTGTCTTAAGACTAATCTTATACCTTTTCAGTTGCCCGCCAGTATTACGTTTAAAATACATTAGGTGACTATAAAGTAGCTACCTTGGCAATCTAATGTCGTCCATGCCGGTAACATGGATAGTCCAGCGTAGTTGTTCATGGATAATGGTAGCCTCGATGCTCCACAGTTGGTGTCAGCGAGAATACTGGCATTTGTTTTTTTGTCTTCTCAGCGAATTCGGAGGATGGAGCGTAAACTACGTTGGTGAAAGTTTTCGAGTGCCTTGAGGTGCCTCCTGTATATGACCCATCTGATCCGATGTTAAATCTCTTCATTGATGTCTACAGTAGTGGAGAGGTGGGAGCCAAGATACTGAAAGTGGGTAATATTAGAGAGGGTAGTACCATTAAGCTAGATGGATGGTGGAAGTGTGGCTGAACCAGGGGCAGGCTGAAAGAGGATCTGAGTCTTACTTACATTCACTTCTAGGCCGAGGTGTGCATACGCATCTGTAGAGGTGTTCAGGATCTCCTGTAGGTTGCATTCAGTGTGGGCAACAAAGGTAAGGTCGTAATGAAAGCCACTTTGTTCCTGCTTGGAGTCATCTTATGTTGAAAAAACCCTTCATCCGATACTCGATATCCATCCCCCGCCCCCGGCTAAATTGACACTGGCATGAGTAAGGAAGGCAGCCAAGAAAATGGAAAAGAGAGTTGGTGACAGTACACATCCTTGTTCTACCCCCTTTAGGATGGAAAATAACTCAGATTGGGTGCCAATATGCAGTACACTGCCCTTCTGTCGTTCATACAATCGCGCAGTTGCCTCATGATGACGATGAATTTTTGTAGGCAGCCAAAAAGGCTGAGCGTCTGCAAAAGGGCTTTCCTGTTGACTGAGTGGAAGGCATTGGTTAGGTCGACGAAAGCCATGTACATGTCATGTCACTGTTCTCTGCACTTTTCCTGTATCTGGCGGGCAGTAAAGTTCATGTCAGTGGTGCCTTTTGATGGTTTAATGCCACATTAAGATTCTGGGAGGAAGTTTTCTGCCTCAGGAAAAAGTCTGTTCAGGAGAACTTGGGCAATAATCTTGTCAGCTATAGACAGCAGCGAGATCCTTCTGTAGTTGCCACAGTCTGACCGGTCTCCCTTGTTCTTATAAATTTTGACGATGGAGGCATCTTTAAAAGCTTGGGGGAATTCCTCCTGCTTTATACACCTCGGCTGGGATTCCATCAGGCCCTGAGGCTTTGCTATTTTTCATCTATTTGATGGCAGTAGCGACCTCATCCAGGGATGGAGGATAGCTGAGGTGGGCGAGCTCTGGATGCTTAGGGACCATTGGGTGCTTCGGTTGAGGAGTGAATGGTAATGGTCTTTCCAGCACTGGAGGATGCCTTCTTCATTTTTAATTAGGGAGTTACCGTCAGTTGAGAGGAGAGGGGCTGCACCACGAGTGATTGGCCCATAAAATGTTTTAGTGGAATTGAAAAATTCGCGCATATTGTGCCGATCTGCAAGTTTACTTTTGTTTCACATGCTTTATTTTTAAACTAGCGAAGTTCACGCTAGGCAGCCACTTTCTTCTTGGGAAGGTATCAGCTTTGGTCCAAGACGGAGGGTTATTCTGCCAGTCAGTTAGAGCAGTATGTAAAGTATATCATTGACGAGTATATTGATTTCCTGGAAATTTTCATCAAACCAGTCCTGGTGCATTCTTACGATCTGGCCAAGGGTCTTTCTGCAGGATTTTGGCATGACAGTGTCGAAAATATCCTAATTGGCACTGGGATTTGGGTTATTTGTTGTTGGGTTCTTTATCAGCCCATGTTTGAGCTGTTCTCTGAAAGCATGTGCTACCGCTGGATCCTCCAGACTCTTAGTGTTAAGACCTCTTCTGGAGGCTTGCTGCCTTCACCGTTTTGGGGTGATGTGAACTGAGAGCTTGGCTCTGACGAGCCGATGATCAGCGTCGCAGTGGTCTAAGCCACGCATGGCACGGGTGATGAGGATATCTCAGCGATCTCTTTCTCTGACAATGATTCAGTCAATGAGATGCCAGTGTTTGTATTGTGGGTGTTGCTACAAACCCTTGAATTTGTCGGCCTGCCTAAACAAGGTATTGGTGATAGCGAGGTTGTGTGCAACACACTTGCTGGGGAGGAACAGACCATTGGGATTACACTTGCAGAGTCCATTTCTCCCTATGGTTCCCTGCCAAATGTCAGCATCCCTGCCAACTATGGCATTGAAGTCACACGGAAGCACAACTTTATTTTCTATGAGGATGGAGGTATGCACTGATGAAAAGGGCATTACGTAAGTGATTCAGTGGGACTCTTCGCGTCATAAGGCGCTCGTTGATCCGAACAGTCATTTCAGTTAGCTTGTTTAGGATATGTTAATGGGTGGCAAAGCCAAATCCATAAATGCTTTTTCTCTCTGCAGCAGGCTTACGCTTCCAGAAGAAGGTATAGCCAGACCCCCTTTTGTGAGTCCACCCTTGTCTGGGAGCTGGGAGTCACTATGACGATGTTAGACCTTGCCAGCTCTTTTGCCACAAGGGCGGTTCTTCTTTCGGGATGCTCATTTGAGCCAGTATCCACAAGGGTCCTGACATTCCATGCAGCAACCGTAAGATGTTGTATAGTTTGTTTTTGTTCTGATCTGTCATTATAATTGTTTTTTCGACAGCATAAGGATGACCTTCCTGGGTGTGGTTGCCCAGTCAGGTTAGTTCTTTAGGCAGACTATGTGTAGGGCACCTTTTGTAGCCCCCTCCCCATGTGGGGTGAGCAGAGCGGTTTCTTCAACGGGCTGCCCAGTCGCACAGACAAGACAGGATTGCACTGCTGCCTCTATCCCAGTGTATAATCAACCGTCATCTCTGGCTGTCCCCGTCGCCACTCGTCCATCGCCAAAGGACTTTTGAGGGTATAGGGGTTTTGATGATGATGAGGAGTATGATGACCTGGATAATGGCTGCTTGTGAGTTGATTTATGTGGTGAGGCAGGAGCTCAGGTTGCAACCACACATCTTTGTTCCCACTTTTCTTGATCCAGTGGTGCAAGAGTTGCAACGGCTGGAGAAAGGGTGAATTGCCATGAACTTCTGATAGCCCAGTTTTGTTGGGTTTCGCCTTAGTAGCCTGTCCATCATGCATTGCCTTCGTCCGCCAGTGTAGTCATTTGATTCCCATAGTGGTCACCTCTTCCGCCCATACTGCCGTTGGGGTCTTGTTAGAGCTCTGTAAGCATGTCTGCTTGATGCAGGGCTCCACCACAGATTTTATGTTCGGGGTTTACTCCCGTAGCCTTATACCTACCAAGGGTAATCCGCAAGTTAGCGGGGCGAGGGTTGGTAGGTGCCAGGACGTTTCCACATGCCAGTGGACCTATGCGTCGTCCCGCTATGTCCCACTGCTACTCCAAGATCCCCTGCTTGTCTAGCCTGGGCCCACGAGGAGGCACAGCAGGCGTATTGATGGTGAAGAGGCTGTGTACAGGTAGGGGACGACTTATGCAAGTTTCTTTCCTGTTCACCACGAGCTATCCAGCGGCGGCAGCTGAAAGCGAGAGGGAGCAAGTAATGCTTGCACCTTAACAATAACATAATGCTGCCACACTAGACGCACACACACACACACAGACACACACACCTCGGCGCAGAATACTCCGGCTACACCAACGCTCTCTCCACCCTGGAAATGCCATCCCTCAGTGACCTCCACCACCAAGCACTGGAAAGGTTTGGCCGTGGACTACTGCACCACCCTCGCCATCGCCACCTCCTGCCACCGGCAGTCCCCCACCCACCTCACGCAGTCCGCCACTACAACAAAATTCAGCCCATAAGAGCCCGCACCGATAGATATAAGAATAGCACCATCCCATCTATTGTTAAAATAATAAACAACTCCTGATTTATGTACTGTACTGCCCTGTAAATGTATTCAACGCATATCATTATGTCTAACTCAAATGTAAGTTTGTATATTTTCAACTACTGGCTGCAACTCTATTAATAAACCGTTTATTATTATTATTATTACCTAACCTAACCTAAAATTAATTAAGTCTTACTTGAGATCAACCATGGGTGAAGAGTGCTTATCTGGTTTTGCCCTGACGTAATGTAACGTAACGTAACCTAACCGAAAACCCTTGATTACACGAAAGTTATCAGCAGGTTTAAGTGAATTTAAAAAAAAATGAAAATTTCACTGTAAACTGTAATTTCGTCATTCCAATCTTGATTTACATTATGGTAGCATTATTTCATGAAGTCTAAAGGTAAACTGCTTAAAACAGTAATAGAATTTACTCATAATTTACTCATAAGGAATTAAATCTAAGCCTCTAAGTTGTTTGATAGGGTTTCATGCAGCTTATAACTGCTTTTGTGACTTAACCACAGTTCACTACCTACTCTAATCTTCTCTTGGTGTCTAGGTGCTTCCTCAGTCACACAAACTGGGGAAATTTCTGAGCTTTTGTCACCAGAAAAAAAAACCCCTAGAATTGCCACTGCCTCTTACTACTTCCCCTACCTCTTCCACTCACCGTATCTTCCAACCACATCTCCCTCTCCTTACTTCCCCCACGTGGTCTTCCCCCACACACTCTGTCTTCCCTGTGTCCCCCTCTCACTATGCCCCCACTCACCTGACCTAACATAACCTAGCTACAACCTCCTCTCATTGGCGTGTCTATGTGTTCCCTCAGCTGAGTCGTAATAGGGCAGCCCGGCAAGACCTGGAACACGATACGATGAACAAGAATCACTCATTAACCATCGACCACACCCAGCACTCGCTCCATAACCACTCCGCTGCTATCACGTATTATCCTGCCGTCGAGAGGATTGATAACACGTAAGATAACGCCTCTATGACCTGGTTTGGTCAAAGATAGCACCCACCTGACCTAGTTAGACCTAAGATCTACTCTCCACTCTATTACCCAGCTTCGAGGGCAACCAGATGCAGGTTTTGAAAAGAGTATTTTTAAGTACTATATTTTAACCTAACCTAACCTAACCACATGTTTAGTACTATAATAATATTATATAATTATAACAAAACTGACATTATATACTTATTATAACTTCAATACAACATGTTCGCTACAACACTAATAAAATAGAATTTTTACAACACATTAGGCTTTAGCTGACCTACAATAACATCAGTCTGGCTTTAACTGACTTACAATAACATCAGTCTGGCTTTAACTGACTACAATAACATCAGTCTGGCTTATCTGACCTACAATAACATCGGTCTGGCATTAACTGACCTACAATAACATCAGTCTGTCTTCTGACCTACAATAACATCGGTCTGGCATTAAATGACCTACAATAATATCAGTCTGGCTTCAACTGACCTACAATAACATCTGTCTGGCTTATCTGACCTACAATAACATCAGCCTGGCTTTAACTGACCTACAATAACATCAGTCTGGCTTATCTGACCTAAAATAGCATATGTCTGGCTTATATGACCTAAAATAACACCTGCCTGGTCTTATCTGACCTAAAATATCATCTGCCTGGCTTTATCTGTCCTAAAATAACATCTGTCTGGCTTATCTGTCCTGGTATAACATGTCTGGCTTATCTGACCAAAAAAGCATTTGTCTGGCTTTATCTGACCTAATATAACATCGGTCTGGCTTATCTAACCTACAATAACATCTGTCTGGTTTTATCAGACCTAAAAACCATCTGTCTGGCTTATCTGAAATAAAAGAGCATATATGTAATTATGATAAGATATTCCTATAAGAGCGAGACTTAATGATAAATTTAAACCTAACCTAACCTAAAACACTTCAATAAGTTCCTCCATTTACGATACATGTTCAATTGTATCATCAGGAGAGAGAGAGAGAGAGAGCTCCCACAACTACACCATTTCCTCTATTTTTATCTTACTCCCAGTGTCAGTGTGCCGGAAACTTGGGCAGAATTCAGCAACCGGAACATACAGCAAAGCCAGACCGAGAGGACCAGCTCACAGCGGTTACGTCAGGAGGTAGACGCCCTCATAGCTGCCACCCACCAGGATATGTGGACCGCTTGGGCATCCTCCAATACTTCCCTCACTCATCGTGCCGGGGAGACGAACGACACAAGGAGCAAGTTGCTAGCTCACAGAGACAGGGTGAGTGTGACTCTTTGAGGAATGAAGGAAGAGGGAAGGAACATGTCTAGGAATGAAGGAATAGGGAAGGAACATGTCTAGGAATGAAGGAAGAAGGAAGGGACATGTCTAGGAATGAAGTAAAAGGGTAGGAACATGTCTCGGAATGAGGGAAGAGGGAAGGAACATGTCTAGGAATGAAGGAAGAGGGAAGGAACATGTCTAGGAATGAAGGAAGAAGGAAGGAACATGTCTAGGAATGAAGGAAGAAGGAATGGACATGTCTAGGAATGAAGTAAAAGGGAATGAACATGTCTAGGAATGAAGGAATAGGGAAGAAACATGTCTAGGAATGAAGGAAGAAGGAAGGGACATGTCTAGGAATGAAGTAAAAGGGTAGGAACATGTCTTGGAATGAGGGAAGAAGGAAGGAACATGTCTAGGAATGAAGTAAAAGGGTAGGAACATGTCTAGGAATGAGGGAAGAAGGAAGGAACATGTCTAGGAATGAAGGAAGAGGGAAGGAACATGTCTAGGAATGAAAGGAGAAGGAAGGAACATGTCCATGAATGAATGAAGATGGAAGGAACATGTCTAGGAATGAAGGAAGAGGGAAGGAACATGTCTAGGAATGAAGGAAGAGGGAAGGAACATGACTAGGAATGAAGGAAAAATGGGTGACGAAGAAGTAACATGTTTAGGAATGAAGGAAGAGGGAAGGAACAAGTCTAGGAATGAAGAAAGAGAGGAGGAACATATCTAGGAATGAAGGAAGAAGGAAGGAACATACATAGGAATGAAGGAAGAGGGAAGGAACATATCTAGGAATGAAGGAAGAATGGGTCATAAAGAAGACGATGTATTTATAAGGTTGTTATCGCCGCTGGCTTGCGCCAGTACGGGCGTTTGCTGCCTTACCCGAACAAACATTACATCTCTCAGCCTGTGACCACGTGCCCCTCCCACGCTTCCTGTGACCTCCTAGATGTGGCGGCTGGGGGTGGTGTTTAGCCGGCAGTGTTATCGCCGCTGGCGTCAGTGCGGCGTGTGCTGACGCAGATCGCCCTCTCGCCCCCCGCGACCTGTAACCTCGCCAGATGTGGCGGCTGCGGGGAGGAGTGGGTTTGCAGGCGAGAGGTCCTGATTCTGCTGAGTGTATAGTTTAGACTTTTAGAGGGTGGCGTGGCCGCCTGGCCTCCACGCCAGATCGCCCTCTCGAGTGATGCTGTGAGGACCAGCCCTCTGCTAGCAATGATGAACACCGACTCCCAATCCTGGCCGAGTTTTGTGCTGGAACAATTTACACAGTACTATTCGGAACATCTTGGAGCACCATACTGGTTCGCATTGACCCGCACTTGTAAGTACAGCCAAAGTGATGACTACCCCTAAGTACTGAAATATTGTGGACTAATTATGCCTACTCGTTCTTGCCTTATCTGGAGCAATAAGACAGCGCGGAATGAAGTGTAACTAAGATTAATAGAGTTATGAACTTTGTATCATGACACTATGATCAATAATCAATTATAATTAAGGTAAATTGTGTGAGACTAACTAATTATGTATCAGAAAGATCACCATGTAATACTAATGAACGCCTTGTTCTCTGCAGGTTTTCACCACATCAATAAATATTGAATGCGTCAAAAGGCGGGTTTCAATCATTTCCTTCGACTTGCCCGTCACCTGAACGTCCTTAACCGAGGCGTTTACAGTCAAAACAAGTACAGGAGTGCGTCGAAGGGAATTCCCGACCGCCAGGACTACGTGACGCCACCACCGCCGGGAGTGCAATGTGGGACGTCGGCCAGCCTCCCACAGTGGGTGCAGCATGAAGTCCACCCATAGTGGGTGCAGCGTGGAATCCACCCACAGTGGGTGCGACGTGGAAACGGATACATAGTGCGAGTGTTGTGTGCTTGAGTGACGTGTTTAAATTACCCGGACAGTGCACGTACGGGGCTGTGAGCGTTCTTTTCGGACAGCGAGCCCGCGCACCTAGTGAGCAAAGGTTTCAGAACACCCGGACAGTGTCGTAATGTTTCGGTCTGGGCAGATGGGCTGTTAGCGTTCGCTCGGACACACACGTCCGCACCACTTGTGAATACAAATGTCTGTCTCCACGCCAGTGATTATAACGAACAGCTGATTAGCCTACACCAGTGACATACCATGGTTGTACTTATCAGGCGTGCAGAACACCTACATAGTATATAAAATATCAAGTAGAATATGGAGATGTTCGGGGTACTTGGTTCTAACTACAGGAGTGAACATAAACACCTGTAGAGTTCTGTAGGTTCTATTTAACGGAAATATACAAGGGCGCTTACAAGCGCGGGTAGTCCTTACACTCCTATATCGGTCAACTGACCTCTCTCTGACCTCTCAGGCGACATGTGGTAAGTGGTACATTAGCAGCTTCCAGATGTCGCCAGGCACATTTATCTAAGCGTGTGGAGACATGAAACAGTGGCATTGCCACACGCTACTGACTAGGGAAGTAATGTATATAAATAGAGTACATACATGGTATACATACAACATACATAATATACATACACCTCCCCCCCCCTATACACTCATAGCAAAGTCTTGAGCGGACCTTTTCCTGTGGATCCGTTTTGAGCGTCGAGGGGCTTGATCACTGGGGGGGATATGGGACTCAGGACTGGTGATAGGGTGTGCGGAAGGTGTTACGGGGCGGAGAAAACGGCGGTTCCTCCACCACACACGACCACTGGGTAACCGCACCTGGTAGTCCCGTGACCTGCCGAGACCCATGACTATGCCCACTTTGTCCCCAAGTAGGGAGGTTGGGTCCCGAACACGGACTTGGGTGCCGACACTCAACCTGGGGAGAGGACGGGCGTGGTCGTTGCATTGGGCGACGGCTCGGCGATCACATTCCACGGTCTTGGCCTGCCACTCCTTGGATAAGGACTGAGAGTGAGCAGGGACACAAGAACGGAGGGGGCGTCCATACAATACCAGGGCAGGGGAGCTTCCGGTGTAATTGGGTGTGTTGCGGAGCTCAAGGAGACCCAGGTCGAAGGCCTCGCAGTCAATATTCCCAGAAGGGGCCACTTTGAGGATGAGGTGCTTCATGGATTTCACAGCAGCCTCAGCGTGGCCGTTGGACTGCGGGTAATGAGGCGATGACAACACATGCCGGACTCCCCATCGGTCGAGGAACACAGCAAAGTCCCGGCTTATGAACTGGGGCTCTCCGTTGGTTCGCAGGCGCACAGGAACGCCCATGTAACGGAAGTAGTGGCGGAACTTGCTGATGGTGGCGGCAGATGTCGTATCATTACCACACTTGATGACAACCGACCAACTAGAGAGACGGTCGATGATAACCAGTAAGGACTCTCCTGACACACAGGAAATGTCGGTGGACACAGACACAAAGGGGCGGGTGGGGATGTCGTCACTCGTGAAGGGTTCCTGCTGCTGGCTGGGTTGTAGAACTTGGCAGGGCTCACACTCATGGACAACATGGGAGATGTCGGAGTCGATGCCAGGCCGGAACACAGTCTGTCTTGCACGCCGTTTGGTGGCCTCGGCTCCATGGTGACTGTCGTGGAGGCGAGCCAAGGTGTGAGGACGTGAAGCAGCAGGGACAACTACCGAAGGAGAGGTGTCACTGGCCAGAGGTAGGGGTAGGGCGGCAGCAGCGTAGTTGCTGCTCCCTTCGTGCACCCTGTTGGTGTATTTTACCTCGAGAATCGGTTTTGGGAAGTCCTGGGAGATGATGGCTAACTCTTGGCAATGTTTGTAGGACAGCAAAGGAGTCGGGACACCATAATGCACGTCAATCCAGGCTTGACACGACCTGTTGCCAAAGGTGACACGTGCATAGAGTGAACCTAGGGCTGGGGCCATCTGTGAACCATCTGCCGTGACGTGGAGGTCCTTGGGAGGCGGTCCTAGATCACTTGGAGAGAGCCCCAAGCATTGCAAATGCTGGGGACCGATGACCGTAGCCTCAGCGCTGGTGTCGGGCAGCATCTCAAGACAGGATGACACACTGCCATAGGTCACGATGACGCTGACGTGCTGGGGGACTTTGGTCCTGGGACGCGATGAGGAGTACACCCTCCTAATATGGGTCGGGCTTTGTCCGGGGTCGTCGTGCCTCTGATTTGGCGACTGTGGGAGGCCCTCACTGGTGGAAGGGCGCTGCTGCTTCTGCCGACGCTGTCCCTTGGGTATGTTTGTCGGGCAACACTTGTCGTATTGTCCAGACGGCCACACACATTGCACTGGATGCATTTGGCTGGGCACCGTACTGTAAGTGACCAGTGGCCCTTGAGGTCACAACTGTTGTAGGTAGACTCAGCACCTGGACATACCTGCGTTCCGTGCTGCCTACCACAGCTGTTGCAAAGGGAGCTGGGCGTCGGCGTGGTGGGCGTAGGCGTTAGGGTAGACTTCTTGTCTTTCTTGTATTGGGACATAGCCCGTACGGCTGTGGGGGGAGCTCGGATGGCAGAGTTAGCACACCTGGCAGCCTCATAGGAGCGACATACTGTCAATACATCCTTAAGAGAGGAGGAAGAGTCGAGGGAGGTGAGGCGTTGGACAAGTTCCTCGTCCTTAACACCCATCAGGATCACCTGCTTCAACTGGGTCTCCTCGCACTGCTGGTGATTACCGAGACATATGTCCATCTCTTCCGAGGCTCTCTTGAGTCGTACGTAGAAATCGTCAAAAGTCTCGCCCTACATCTTTTTTTTTTTTTTTTTTTATTGGGCACTCCTACATCATTGTGTAAGGTGAAGCGCAGAAGCGTTTACAGGGCCCAACAGGGAAGCATGCTAAGTTCACGCTTGCCTTTATGTCTTATGAGTTAAGGGCGTAGAAGCCTGAAGAGTCAATGGTTCATGTCCTCAAGTTATTGAAAGCTCCAACAACTTGTCCCTGAATACGAATTCGCAACTTTCGACTTACAACAGGTACCTACTTTACTGCTAGGTGAACAGGGACTAATGGGGGCTAGGAAGTAAGTCCAA